TGGACAAGGCTGGTGGTGGGACATCCAGGAGCCTTGCCAGGGTCTGGCTGTAGTGGCTGAGGTCTGGCTATAGAGGTGCTGCCAGCAGAAGCAGCAGTTTGGACAGAAGCACATCACCCGTGTGGTTGCATGGGAGGCTGTTGGGTTAGGGGCAACGGAGGGGGTGGGAGCTGGGGAGGTCGTGGGGCTAACTCACCATGGGCAGTGAGGATCCCACCAAGCACATGGACTTTATCCTCCTGTGCTGAACCCTGAGGAGGGTTTTAAGCAGGGGAATTACATGAACAGATTTATCTTTTAGAAAGGTCGCTCTTGAGTGTGGAGGAGGGATCAGAGGGTTAAGAGTGGAGGCAGAGAATCCAAGCCAGGTAGTTAGTGCAGAAGTCTTGGCTGGAAGGCTGATGTTGGAATGGAGGCCCGACGTTATCAATGGGATTTGGGAAGAGGAGAAAATCAGATACACTAGGAAAATTCAGTGTGTAGAAAACATGGTGGGGTTTTTTTTGGGGGGGGGTGAGGGATATGTTGGGAGTTGTCATTTAAATGATGGGCCATTGTACTCAGACATCAGGATGTGTTTGGTTAGGCTAAATACGTCTTAAAACTAGAAGACTCTTTCTTAAATCGGGGTCACAAAGTGCCCTGGGAGGTGTCTTGCATGTTTTTGCTGCTTTATGCTCTGGACGTATTTTAGGTTTCAAAGAGTTTATGGTTGCAGCACTGCTCATGTTTTACAGACGAGTGATTCTTTTTAAAAACCAGTCACTATCCCCCACCCCTATCCTTTTCCTGGCCGTGATCTTCCCAATCTCTCTCTACCAGTCACAAAATTTATTGACTATCTTATCTCCTGCCTCTACCCATCATACCTTTCCCATCTTCTGATCTAATAAAAGAATCAGACTCTTATTTGATAAATCATTTCGTGGATGTTTGTGTCTAGGGGTTTTAGACGTCTGTCAATAAAACATCCCCTGCTGATGGAGAAAACCTATAGGTCTGTTTATTATCAAACCTCCACATGCCAGAGACTGTGTATTAAGAGTTTTACAAAATTAAAGAACAGTGTTTGCCTTCTAGAAGAAAGATGTCTCAAAACCAGCCCACAGCCCTGGCTAGTGTGGCTCAGTGGGTTGTGCATGGGCCTATGACCAAAGAAAGGGCCACCGGTTTGATTCCCAGTCAGGGCACATGCCTGGGTTGTGGGCCAGGTCTCCAGTAGGGGGTGCATGAGAGGCAACCACACATTGAAAACAAGCCTACAAAGATAGAAATAGGCAAGAAGAAAATGTCAGAAACAGTATCTACCTTGAATCTTTCTGCAGTAGGGTTTGGTTTGAGTCGATGCTCCAGAGTTATGGCCAGGTGTTGGTAGTGTTGATAACAAATGCCAGCACGCATCATTCTTTGAAGATTTGAGATGGAGTGTCGCAGCTGAGAGCCCGGGTTCTGGGGGTCTCACTTCCTAGCTCTGCCTCTTATTGTATAAGTGTCACCTTGACCAAATGACTTAATCTCTGTGATTCCCATCATTATCTGTAAGATGAGGATCATAATAGTGTCTGCTGTAGGAGTGTTTTGAGGATTAAATGGCAAACGTATGTGATGTGCATAGCACACCAGCTAACACAGTAAAATGCATGATAAATACTTCTTCCCAAAGCCAAAGTACATTTCATAAGGCTCAGCTGAGAAAGGTGCGCTGTGTGAGTTGCAAGGGTCATTGCTCTCCTTGCACATGAAAGCTGGGTGGCCAACCCGAGGTCCTTTGTAGTCAGGTCGTGTTGGTTGCAGAGAAAATCCTGGACCATGCTTTCTTCAGGACAAGTTAGTCTTTCGAGTTTTCGAGTTACCTCTTTAGTCATATCATATACATGATTGGTTGTCACTTCAGGGCACTCTCAGAAACAAGTTTGAAGCCAACAGGTGGCAGGGAATACCTTAGAGGAAATTCAGGCAACGCTGCCTGTCTGAAACCTTTTTTTGATATCTGTCACCTCGCTCCTCATTTAAGTTTAACACATATTAATTGAGCACCACTATTTTTTTTGTTCTATATGAGGCTCCAGGGAAACAAGGATGAACAGACAATTCTATCCTTATGAGACTTACTGTAATGGAAGTATATGTAAGCAAGTTCAATGCACAGATGCAAACACAAATGGAAGCGTGTAGAAGGCCCTAGCAGTACTTGGGAAGAATAGTAAGGAAAGTTTCACAGATTCAGGGGCATCTCAGTGGATTTTGTGTGGACTAGGAAGAGGGAGATTCAGCAGGTCAGCAGGGTTTGTACAGGGGCACTGGATGGACCATATGTGTTTGGGGTGGGGGGATAGGAGATGAAATCGAGGATGCAGGCAGGAGCTGGATCTTGTAAGAGCTTGGCCTTGATCATGTGGGCATTGGGGGCTGCAGAGGGATTTTAGGCATTGGAATGCTGTAAGATTGGCATTTGTAGCAGGACCATCCTGGTATGGAAGGTGAACTTGAGAAGGATGTTGGAGATGCTGGCAGGTCCGTGTCCCCACTGCAGATTTAGTAAGGCCAGTGACAACAGTCCTATTTACTTCTGTATCCTTGAAACCTAGTGCTTTTTAGACATTTAAGAAATGTTTTAGAATAAAGACAGTCCAAGTTGAATTTCTCAATTCTGCATCCTCTCCTCAGAACATGCTGACCTAGACCTCCATCTGTCACGAACAGCTTGACTGAGATCATAATAAATTCTTTCCTTCATGGCATTCTTTTAACTGGTACTCCGTATTTACTAGTCCCTCAGTGCAACTGTAGTACGGTGATGATTGATGCTGATAATTCTGACCCTGAGGTACTTCAAGCCTTCTAAATCATCAAAAGCAGATTAAAATATATTCAATATTACTGTAATGTTTGTGTGTTTTACTGCATTCCTATTCTTTGGAAATGCACGGTTTATCACATGCCTGTGTACTCCTTTGCGCGTAGGCACAGTGAGAGTCTGTGATCACCCACAACCCTTCTCCCTCACAGTGCCTGTCGACAGAGCCAGTTTGTTAGCAGTGCATGCTTAGAAGTAAGCAAGCAAAAACAAACCCAGGGTTTCTTCTTTCCTGGGAGGAAGCAGGCTGGCCCCAAAGGGGCAGGTTGGACAGAGATGAGAGAGAAAGCTGTGGTTTAAAAAGTGGGAGTGAAAACACAAGCACCGGTGCAGACTAGCAGGTCAGCAGTTTGCTACAAACCCAGGCTAGGGCCCAGCCTGGGAAGAGCAGGGCCCAGGGCAGGGACACCAGCTTCACAGCCTCATGTGCCTGGGCCCAAACCACTGGGCATGAACTTGGCAGCAGTGTGTACCAGCTATATTTGTATTACAGTAACAACTGCTCAGTAAAGTGCCAAACAGCAAGTGGAAACATCAGTAAGTAGAGCATCCTGTTCCCTACACTCACACCTCTTTTCATGAAAACCATTATCACTGCAGAGCTGACAATATGACTCTGCCCGGAATGAAGAGCCCCGAGCGGAGGCCGTGCGAGGGCTGGCTCCCTTTTGTGGGCTGGCTCCCAGAAGAAAGGGCACTCCTGTTGTTACCAGGAGGGACACAGGCGGTTTGGATTTTCCTTGGGGAGGGGGGCTGTATGTTGCAGAAAATAGAGATGCCTCTTGCATGTTGTTGTGCAGACTTGTTTTCAAATCTGTGTCTGACCACCAGATTGTGCCTGTGTGCGCCTCCCTGGTCATCGCAGCCTGGGGAGCCAGGCCCCACGGTGTGGGGGCTCCGCTCCGCACCCTCTTGGCGAGGGCACAGGTGGACTTGAGAGCTAGCTTCACCGTTTGCCAGCTCTGTGATCTGGATGAGCCTCTTAGTATCTCTGGATCTCGATTTTTCTTTTTCTGAAATACTGGAATATTATAAGTTCCTCTTTTACAGGGTTGCCGTGAGGCTGAAATACAATGCTGGACATGAAAATGTTTAACTGGGAAGCCATGTATACATAATAGCACACTAAATATGCTAAAGCACATGATAAATATTCTAATAAAAATAGAAATGTTTCATCAGCAAACATGATGCCTCAAAATTTTTCCCAAAGTACAGTGGGGAAAATGAACTATTTATTGACTTCCTACTGTAGAATATATGTTCTGACTGTTACTATAGCCACTCCACAAGCTAGAGGTTAAGTCCCCCTTTCAGAGATGAGAAAACTGAGCTAGTCGTAGATATATATACATACACACACACAGCATAAGTGGGATTTGGACCTGACTCTGGAACTTAATGCTCCTTCTGCTCGTGTCAAGTTGTCTGTCTTATTACAACTCTCCCTCCCCCAGCGTTCTTAAATGCTGGGAAGTTACTAGCCATTTCTTAGCCGCCCACTCCTGCAAGTGGGAACTCCTGAGCTCCCAGAGCCCCTGGAGGGACCAGTCCCCAAGGAGAGTCAGGGTGCTGGGCACTGAGACTCCACCTTCAGAGAACTGGCCAGGCCTGGGTGGAGACAAGGAGGCAAGGGCAAGGAAATGTGTGCCACAGGTCCCAGTCCTTGAGATGACTATGGCCCCGGAGTTTCCAGGAGTTCGTTCTCTCTCTGTCACACTATTTTCCAGCCTCACGGAGGTGCTTTGGGGAGCCACTGTGTGGATTCTCCCCCCAGGAATCAGGGCCTCTCATTCATTCTGACCAGCTCCATGTTCTGCTGATTCCATGTGGAGACCACTTTGCTGAGCCTTTCTGGGACCCTCCTTGTTAACTTTGACGCCAGGTACTGGGGGAAGGATCCCCGAGGTGGCAGTTCATTACCTGCCCAGCGGGACCCACCGCCACATGCCTTCTCTTCCATATATAAAGTTTTCCCCGTTCCAGACAGACAGGTGGCTTGTGAACTGGAGCCGCCCACACGGAGAACCAGCGATAATGCCTGCTGAAGGGCCAAATTGAATATTCGGGGGGTGTTGGTTTGTGGAAGAAGCCTTTGTTCAGACTGTGGATCTGAGAGGAGCTGTGTGTCTTGTTTCCGCAGGTTCTCAACAGGAGGTGCGTAGAGGCAGCAGTGATGACAGGCCTGGCCCTGAACTGCCGCATAAACAAGAGGTCCTTGTTTGACAGGAAGCACTACTTCTATGCAGACCTCCCTGTAAGTATGCTTTGTGGCCTGTCCTCTGCGAGTTCGCAGGAGCTGTAGGTTCCTGGAGCCAGGGAGGAGGGCCGAGCCTCTCATGTTTTCCGTCTGAGCTCTGTCCCCCTCAGCGGGAAGTGCTGCCCAGCCCGGATGAAGACAGGAGCCCCCGATGTTTACTAGATTGGATGCAATTGTCCTGATTGCTGACTCCTTGCTTAGCCTCATGCTTCTGGCGGCTGGCTCATAATTGAACGGGGAGTAGAAGCCGCTGTTCCCAGGCTCAGCCCAGCCGTGGTGTTTGGCACTAATTGCCTGTTAGGACAAAAGCTAACTCTGGGGCTGATGCAACGGTAAATGCGTACTGTAGCTCTGTAGACGCAGCGAGGGCTTCGCTCTTTCAAGTTGAAGTTCCCAATAATAGGACTTTCACCTTTGGAGGCATTTCTGTCATCTCACGAGGAGCGAGTAAGTGGACAATAGTAAGCAGAAACATGAACCAGATGTCTAGACTAACAGCAGTAATCGGCTGAGCAGTAAACCCCATATTAACCTGCTTTTTCCTTAAAATTAGAAAGCGTTTTTCTTTCAGAGAAGCCACTGGGAACTAGAGGCAGTGTTTTATAATGTCGAACAGAACCAAAACTGTAATGTTGGCCGGGTTTCCCCAAATGATATTTCACTTGATCAGAGCCTCTGACCCTCAGTGTGGCCCTTCTTCAGATTGAGAAAAACAGCTGCGATGATACTGCTTCCCGTTCTTCTTGAACTGGAGACAGGTGAGCTGTTTCTTAGTGAGTGAGATCGGGAGGAAACTTCAGAAAAAAACGAGAACCCGAACTCTCCAATTGCTGCCGCGTTTACCCTTTGGCTCCCGGCATTTAGAACATTCTGCTCTTTCCTAGGGTAGAGAGAATGAACCCGAGTGTTTCACATCTTTTAAGAGTGATAACCAGTTTGGTTAAGGTGGGAGACTTAGTGGTAGGTTACTAAACTGAGATGTTTTGAGTATTGGTGTCTTTGAATTCTTTCTGGCCCAGTAGCTCAGATAATTCAGAGTTAGTATTGCCAAATATTACATGGGACATACTTACACTGAAAAAGTATTAGTTATTTATCTGAATAAACAACTTATTCAAATTTGAATTGAACCAAGCATCCTGTATTTTATTTGGCAGCCCCACCCAGAGTTTAATTTTTATGAACTGAGACTTCCTGTTTTCACATAGAGGATGAGTTAGCCTAAAACAGTGGTCCTTGCCTCAAAGCCTGGTTCCCTGGGCCACCAGCGTCAGTTTCTCCTAGGGATTTGTCAGAAATTCTCGGGCACCACCCCAGACGTTTTGACCAGTGTGCCAGGTGATTCTGAAGCAGCTAAAGTTTGGAAAACGCTGGCCTCATGCCTAGGATTACTGATTCTGAAGCCAGACCATCTAAGTTCACATCCTGTTGCTGATACTGACTAGTTAGGTGACTTCGGGCAAGGCCCTTAACCCTTGCCATGCGTGTACAGGCAGTCCCTTGCTATATCGAGGTTCACCTATTGCGGCTTCGCTGTATCAAGGGTTTTTTAAAAATTAAAAAGTTTTAAATTTTAAAATCTAAAATTTTTTTTAAAACCCTGTGATACAGTAAAGCCGAAATGAGGTGAACCACAATATACCAAGGGACGACTGTATACTTCACTGGTGAGTACCCATATAGAATTTTATATGTTGTTAAAGTTATGTAGGTTTAAGAGTGTAGAAAGTGTTTAAGAGTATATGAAGTGTTTATAAGAGTGTGGGAAAGGTGTATAGGAGTGTGGGAAGGGTTTATAAAGTCTTAAAATATATATAAATAATAGAATAAATATAACGCCACTACTTGGCAGATGTTCACCTATCTCGGGGGTCGCTGGAACGCAACTCCCGCAGTAGGTGAGGGATCACCGTATCTCCTTCCTTGAATTGCTGTGCGGATTAAGAGGAGTCACGTACTGAGAACACGGTGTCAGAGACTCCAGTAAGCCCTGCAGACGCTTCAGCTGTTCTCTGTGCTTCCCCAATTCTCCAGTTTCGGTCTGCCGCCTCTTTAGCAAATATGTTGATGTGCGTGTGTGTTTGAAAGTGATTCTCTCCACCTCGGAGGAGGTGAGGGGCCCCTGAGGTTGGTCAGTATTTTACTACTGCGTGCTTTCCATTAGCTGAATGTGCGTGTCCCAGCAGTTTCTGGCTGGAGGAGCAAGGAAAGTTGGGTCAGGGAGGGCAGCTGGCACAATCGGTTAGCTTAAACAACAGGAACAAAGCGAGCTTGTGCTAGTAGCAACTGCTGTCAGCCGTGCTGAGAGTAGATAGCAAATGCTTAGCCAGCACTTCCCAATAAGGAAGGTCTGTCAGGAGCCCAGTAATCAGATGCAGGGTTTAGGCTAATGAGCTAAGTGGAAACAATACATTCTTTTCTTAGAGTCTTCTGACCATGAGATTATTATTCCCCAAAATGGAACTTCAGTAGGGAAGATAGGATTCGTGTTGTTAATTGCATCATTATTTTCAGGGTGAGGAGTCCAGGGAAGGTTAGGGGGGATGGAAAAAGCCAGAAGAGGCCAGGCTGAATTATGGCTGCAAGGCATAAACTAATTTTTCTTCCCCTTTCCTTTTTCGTTTAGCTGTGTTGCATTTTTATGTAAGCGTACAGTTCTGTGACATTAAAAGGAATAGTAAACTGGACCCAGCTTGTATCTATGGACCAGTGACTACATAACGCATGTTTGTATGCAGGCAGGCTACCAAATTACCCAGCAGAGGCTCCCAATCGCTGTGAACGGGAGCCTGGCCTACAGCGTCTGTGTGGGGATGAAGCGGAGTCAGGTGATCAACAAGACAGTGAGGATCAAGCAGATCCAGCTGGAGCAAGACAGCGGCAAAAGCCTCCACGATGACCTGCGGTCTCAGACGCTCATTGACTTGAACAGGGCAGGTAGGCTTAGGGATTTTCTGTGACTTCCTGCCAGCATCCCTGCCTCCCCTCCAGTTCCCTAATCCAGTCCAGGACCCAGGCCCAGGAGCCCGACAGTGGAGGTGAGAGTATCAGTGTTGGCACTGGCACAGCTGATCTGAGTGCTGGGATTGCTGTTGGGCTTGCTAACAGCCCATCCCTGAGACAAACATAGCCACCTGGTCAGGACTCCACAGCTGAATATCTTAGGGAGACTTTAAAAGATAAACCAAAGTTAAGAATCAAAAAAATGGGGGGAAAGAGAGAAGCAATGCGGAGGCTAGGACCCACTCTGACGGTGCTTCGGTGACACAGGGCAGGGTTTGCCAAAGGCTTCCGCTGACTTATCTGCTGATGGGATTGGAGAGCTCCAGTCAGGCTGATGCTGCCTCTCATTTGGTAGGAGTCGGCCTTCTGGAAGTGGTCCTGGAACCAGACCTGTCCTGTGGAGAAGAGGCGGCCATGGCGGTCAGGGAGCTGCAGCTGATACTTCAGGCCCTGGGGACCAGCCAGGCCAACATGGCAGGTAGAAGCCACACAAGCAGTGTCCGTCCTTCTCCACCGTCTCCCTTTCTGCTTCCTGAGTCTCTGCATTTGGGTGTTATTCTCTGTATCAGCTACATGAGGTGGTCTACATCTTTTTTTCAGCTTTTTGCATTTCTGGTTTTGTTTTGTTTTTTCTTAGAATTCTCCTTGGATTCTCTTCTGAGCTTTTAACCAAAATAAACACACTAAAAACAACAGTACAGAGACGCTGAGCCCAAGAATGTGAGGTTAGAAGTCGCAGAAGTAGAGGCTTTCTCTCTGGCTTTGTGCATCAGAATGATGTGTGGATTAATGAGATAATGTGTTTGTGCCGTGTGGGCATTCTCAGTGAGAAGACATTGTGTATCCAGGGTAGCTCCGAGTGAGTGAGTGCTGTGTAGGCGACACTTCTTTGTTTCCTGGTGCTTTCCCTTGAGTCTGTTTGTTTTCCTTTTTTTGTAGAATTTTCATCCATTTACAGCTGAAACCAAATTATATAAACTATAAGCCAAGGTTATGGTTTCACAAAACTTTAACTTTGAGATACAATCTTTTTTTTAACTTTTTTATTGATTATGCCATTACATTTGTTCTATTCCCCCCTCCGTTCCCCTCCACCCTGCATGCCCCTCCCCCACCATTTCCCCCCTTTAGTTCATGAACATGTGTCTGAAATTCTTTAGATTCTGTATTCCCCTACTATTCTTACCCTCCCCCCTATCTATTTTCTATCTACTGTCTGTGCTACTTATTTTCTGTATATTCTCCCCCCTTCTCCTCCTCCCACTCCCCTGTTGCTAATCCTCCAGGTGATCTTCATTTCTGTGATTCACTCCTGATCCAGCTGTCCTCTTAATTTGCTTTTGTTTTAGGTGTGGTTGTTGATAACTCTGAGTTTGCTGTCCTTTCACTGTTCAACTTTTTTATCTTCTTTTTCTTAGGTAAGTCCCTTTAACATTTCATATAATAAGGGCTTGGTGATGATGAACTCCTTGAATTTGGTCTTATCTGAGAAGCACTTTATCTGTCCTTCCATTCTAAATGAAAACTTTGCTGGATAGAGCAATCTTGGATGTAGGTCTTTGGATTTCATGACTTGGAATACTTCTTTCCAGCCCCTTCTTGCCTGTAAGGTCTCTTTTGAGAAATCCGCTGACAGTCTGATGGGAACTCCTTTGTAGGTGACTGTCCCCTTATCTCTTGCTGCTTCTAGGATTCTCTCCTTCATTTTAATCTTGGCTCATGTAATGATGATGTGCCTTGGTGTGTTTCTTCTTGGGTCCAAGTTCTTTGGGACTCTCTGAGCTTCCTGGATTTCCTGGAATTCTATTTCCTCTGCCAGAATGGGGAAGTTTTCTTTTATTATTTGTTCAAATAAGGTTTCCACTCGTGACTCTTCCCCTTCTGGTACCCCTATAATTCAAATGTTGGAACGTTTAAAGATGTCCTGGAGGTTCCTAAGCCTCTCCTCATTTTTTTTTTGAATTCTTGTTTCTTCATTCTTTTCTGTTTGGCCATTATTTGCTTTCTTCTGGTCCACTCCATTGATTTGAGTCCCAGACTCCTTTCCATTACTATTGGTTTCCTTTGCATTACCATTCATTTCAATTAGTTTAGCTTTCATATGTTTCTCTAATTTGTGACTAAAATCAACCAGTTCTGTGAGGATCCTGATAACCAGTGTTTTGAACTGTGCATCTGAAAGTTCGGCTATTTCCTCATTGCTTAGATTTATCAGCTCTGGGGCTCTGAGTTGTTCTTGAGCCATTTTTGGTCTGTTCGCGCCGGTAAGTAAGAGGGGCAAAGCCTTAGTTGTTTACCAGGGCGGGGCCACCCAGGTGGCTGGTTTGTGACGTAGTGTGTGGGGGCGGGGTCAGAGAGGGAGCAATGGCGGTCCTGTCCGCTAGCCCAGTCTGTCCCATCCCCCCACTCGCCCCAGCCTGTTTATCCGAGCTGAACCGTGCGAGCCTGCTGCCCCGTGCCGTGCGGTCTCCAGGCTCGCCTCTTCACTGGTTTATCTGCACGCAGATGCGTGACCTACTGCAGACAGCCAGCCGCGCCTCTTCCCTGCGTGTGCCCGTAGCTAGCCCGCGATCGGCGCCTTCGGCTGCTTGGGCACCACCAGGTCAGGGATCTTTTTGGTCAACCGGCTCTGCTGCTGGCTTCGCCCCCCTTACCAGTTTAGCCGAGCATTTCGTCCTTTTTCGGACTCTGTATTGTCGATTTTCTGTGTGGTCTCGTTGTGTTTATTGTTGTTAAAAATAGTTGTTCTTAGATTTGGCTGTGCATGGAAGCAAGGTGGGTCCACCTACGCCTCCATCTTGGTGGAAGAACCCTGAGATAAAATCTTAAGTTCAGTAGAAATACGGTAGGAAATTAAAATCAACAGAAAAAAACCCACTTCCTACTTGTACCCTTGGAACCAAACAAGCAATACATTTCAAGGGTTTGCACATTAGATGTGAAAATTGCAAGTATTGGTCAAGCTCAGTTTTGTCCTGGCTCGCTCCCTTGGCCTCTTCCTAGTGTAGCTTTGCTGGCCCAAAAGTCCTGAAAGCTAGTCTCTTCAGTGGTTTTCTCCCTATTTTCTGTTGCCAGGGGCTTTAAAAAAAAAACCTGCCTCCCACAGAGCATTTCCTAACAGAGTGGAGAAAGGATACAGCTTCTACAAGTACAGTTGTTAATCTGTAGCCCACTACAGTGGTATATCAGGCTCTTCCACAGAAACAGACCCAATAGAAAAGAATGTGTGTATGTTACACATGTGTATATGTTTAGACAGAATGAGATTTATTATAAGGAGCTGGCTCCTGTGACTATGGAGGCTGAGAAGTTCCAAGATCTGTGGTCAGGAAGCTGCCGGAGAACTGCGGGAGGGGAGAGCCAAGCTCCGGGAGAACTGGTAGTTTAGTTTCAGTTCAGGTCCAAAGGCCTGAGCACCAGGAGACCTGAGGGTCTAAATTTCAGTCTGAGCCCAAGTCCAAAGACAGGCAGAGACAGCAAATTACCACCAACTCTGTCTTTTGTTCTAGGCCTTCAGTGGATTGAATGAGGCCCACCCACAGTGGGGAAGGCAATCTGCTTTACTCAGTCTATGGATTCATATGTTAATCTCATCCAGAAATTCCCTCGCAGACACACCCAGAACCGTATTTAACTGAATATCAGGGCTCCCCGTGGCCCCATCAAGTTGACACATAACATTAGGCATCGTGAGCCCTGGCTGGTATGGCTCAGTTGTTTGGAGAATTGTTCTATACACCAAAAGGTCACGGGTTTAATTCCTGGTCTGGGAGGAATACTGACATTTCCCTAACATCCATGTTCCTCCCTCCTCCTCTCCGTCCCTAGAATCAATAAATATATCCTTGGGTGAAGATTTAAAAAAAAAATTAGCCATCATGAGTGTTCACAGTGGGTTCCAGTAAATACCATTGATGATGATGAATCATCTCTCTGCCAGTTTACAATGCCATTTACCTACCTTTTTATGTCGTGTAATATGTTTGCGTGGTGCAAAGGGACTTCTGAATTTGTAATTCCACATTTGTTACATGGGGCATCTTACAAGCAACAAATTATTACATCAGAGCACTGGTACAAATTGCATCTGAAGCCAGAACTTGGTGATTTGCTGCCTCCTTTAAGCTAAAGACAGGAAAGGCACCAGCCATGTGAGTGAGTGGTGTAAAGGTTAGCCGCCTACAGGTTTGCTTTAGAGAAATGAGGCTGTGTTTTAGAGGAAGAAAATGCTCCATTTTAGATTTATGGCTCATGCTGCTTTTCATCCACAGAAATAAATGAAATATGGGCAAGCTGGACGGTTATCCGTTTATGCACTAAGTGTTCATTCTCTATTGCTTTAAAAAAGTTTTTATTATTTCATTCTTCTTCAAAATAACTGTGCTTTCTTCCAAACCTATGGAATAATAAACAGGCCACCTGTTAGCTGAAAAATAACCCCATCTGGGTCCTTGCCAAGAGATAAACCATAACGGCAAGGAGGCATCAGTTCAGTGACAGCTGAGAGGGTTCATTAAATCGCATTGGTTGTGACGCTTTTTGTTGCTTTTAAATACAGATTTAGCAGCCTTGCCTGTAGCACAGCAGCAGAGGGGCCGTGGCCGCTCCAAAGTGCTGTGCGGAGGGAAAAAGGTCTGCTGAGCATCTGCAGGGGTCCAGCTCTTTGTGCTGCTCGAGTTTGCTCAGCCCTGACCCCTTTGTTCCCACCACCTGAGACAACTGTGTTGGCACTAGAGACTGCAGCCAGGGAACTGAGGGCCACTCTAGGAAGGACCAGTGGACCCCCAGGGTGCCTTGGGAGTGACTCTTAAATTCCTCTGGGCTGTGATTCAGTGAGCTGCTGACAGTTTGGCTGATGAGCACAGACCAGCTGAGCCTGGGTTCCAGGAGTCATTCCTTCTAGGTGGACCTCTCCCACGGTTGGGATCCTCAAAGCAGTCTGTCGGGTTGGGTGTGTATCTCCGTGGACATCCTATGTTTCAGTGGTAATGGTATTTACAATTTGGGCATTTAGCATGTGCTCCTTCATTCACTAAGTATCTTTAAAATTAATTTATCATTTCATTTAAATTTTACGATATTCCTGCAAGAGAGGTGGTGTTGCACTTGTTGTATAGGTGAGAAGACTGAGGCTTAAGGAGGTGGGGCTATTTGCTCGAGGCGCTCAGAAAGTGACTGTCATAGGGTGTGAGCCCAGGTGTGTGAGTCTAGAAGCCCTTTCTTTCAGTGCTGCCACGCTGCCTCCTAGTGGCAACCACGCAGTGTCCTAACTGCCCTAGTTAGCACCTCGGAAAGATAGTGTGGTGGGTAGAGCCTGGGTGCTGCTGGCGCTGCTGGCGCCCTGGTCCAGACCTGAGTTGGACTCCTGTCCTACTGCTTCCAGCTGTAGGAACCAGGGCAAGGTATTTCATTTCTCTGAGCCTCACTTCCACACTTAACAAAGTGAGCCCCCAAATAATTATGTATGGAAAGGGAAAG